ATGACAAAGTTTATTTGAGATAACACCTTTCCTGCAAGCTTCACAACTGTGATTTGAGGGCAAAAATAAGATGATAAATGTGAAAGGATTCTGGAAACTGCCTGGAGGCATTATTCAAATACAAACTCACTTTGTTATCTCTACATTTTATAAGACCAGAAATCAGTAGCCTTGTTGAAAGCAAATTTTGAGTTGGGAATTCTTTTAAGGGATGTGTGATAATGGAAGATTGTTATTCAGAGGACAGCCATTCTATTTTTATGTATTTTGCCCCCTTCTTTTTCCACGGTACATCTGAAATAGAGGTTTGTCTTACTCTTTATCTCCCCAAAGAGAGGTATAGCCTGAATTTCCACTGTAGATAATTTCTTTAAGTACCAAGGGATTGTTTCAGCAAATGAAAGTAATCTTCACATTGATCTGACCCTGCACAATGCCTAGGGCTGGGGGCAAAGGCATTAATTAAAATGGGAAAATTGGTAATTTCTGCTCTATCTGGGAAGCTTAGACATGATATAGCTTGAGTGAAAACAATGGCTTTTGCTTAAAATGCAAATATTAATGCAGGAAACAGCCTGGGATTGACTCTCCGCAACTGAAAGAGATTGGGATTTCTTTTTCATGCCTTTGAAATAATGCCTCTTTTTCTTTCCTGAAGCTCTGTAATACATACATTTAACATGCAGGGTTTTTATTTTTCTCCTTAAAGTTTCTTTCACTTGATAGTTTGCTGCATTTTCATACTTTTGAAAGCAGTGCAAATTGCAGGTATTGATAAATCTTTGAAACAGCTGTAAGGATCCACAATGGTTGTTTGCATCTGTGTGGGTGAAAGAGAGTCGGTTTGAGACCTGTGCTGTCTTCCGTGCATTCTCCTCTTGGCCACGTGGACAGCTTGGGTCTCACTGGCCAGAGTCTCCATACAGGCATAGAGCCTGGAAGTGACCGCTGCGGCACACACACCTATGTACCAAGCGCTTGTAAGTACCAAAACGACACTGCAAAATTTGAAGTAACATCTATTGTCCTTGGCCTAAAGGCTCATCAAGTAGTATTGCAATGAAAAAGATGCATTTTCATTGTTTAGCCATTAATAGCAGGGAATGGGAATGTGATCATTTATACCAGTTCTAAGCATCCCAGTTCACGAGGCTTTTCACTAATGATAATAATTGTGGGTGAAAATTACATCTAATGTGGAATTATCATGGCTGAACATTTTAAAGTTATCATCATCATATTACAGGAAAATTTGTTGCAGAAATAAAAAACAAAATCCCAATTCCCTCTAACTTGTTTCTTTTTCCACTTTGATTTCCACCTCTTCTTGATATACTTACAAACTTTTATGTTATTGCAATCGTAGTATGCATGCAGTTTCAGGGTTAGCATTTCTCATTCAGCATTCATTATGCACAAACCATTTTTCCTGATTATGTAGTCAGCACGAGATTTTCCATGGCTGCTGCTTTGACCAGTTTCCTACTGGTGAGCATGGAACTGTCTGCATTATTTTTGTGTGTGGCTGTTAAAATTTAAGAAGTGCTGCAATAAACACCTTTACCTGGAACTGAGTTTAACTGTTTGAGGGAAGTTCATGCTTTTTTAAAGGCATAAATGGAAAGCAGTGAGATTTCTGTGCCGAATTTGAAGGCTTTCTAGTAGGCAGCAGGGAGAGAGGAGCAACTGGAGGCTGATGCTGGAAGGGACACTGAGTCTCATCCTGAGAAAGGGCGATGTGAGCAGCGAGCAAACACGGCTCTGCTGGGTGAAGCCTCAGGCCAAAGGCAGTGTGACTATGGTGCACCCAGGAGCAGTGTGCAGGGACCTCTGCGCCCAGCCGGCCACGGAGCTGTGAGTCAGCTACACCGAGACATGGGCAGTCTGCAGTGAGCGAGCCCTCCTCGATGCCAGCGAGGCTGTGGACAGGCAAGGCACTGGCTCTGCCCCCGGCAACCTGGAGACAGCAGAGGAGGCAAAGGGGATTGTGGGCAGAGGGAGGTGCTGGGCCATGAGGTAGCCCATCCCTCTGTCCCTGCCTCTGAGCAGGAAATGCTTTCCAGAGCCCCTGCTGCCCTCATTCCTGGCCTTAGGCAGTGCACTCCGTGGAGAACACTCAGGCTCACTTCCCCGAGACTGGAAAGGGGAGCCCAAGGAAACACAGGCTGCTACTGAACCTCAGATCCCAGCATTCCTCATTATGAACGGCTCTGCGGAACAGCTCACCATTTATTTTCCTCTCGGCTAACAGGTTTTTATGGATTTGACAAACTCCAGAGAAGTGGCGGGCTAAGCTTTGCCTTTGCTGGAAACTTTTTTGAATAGAAATAGAGCACTTTAGGAAAGGAGGAAAAGCAAGACAGAACAGCTCTAAAACAGACTGTACTGTGCGATTTCCAGTTTTGTCTCAGTTTTGTTCTCTGGAGCTTTGTGTAGCCGGACGAGGGAAAGGTTTTGATAAGAAGTTTTGTGATTGCAGAAGCAAAGTTGAAGATCCACTTCTGCTAAGTGTGAGCCCGTGCGGTCTCCCCAAGGTCTTTGTACCAGTTGCCGATTGCACTTTTCCTCCTCCCCAGGCTGTGTCTGCCTTCAGCCACTGGTAGGTTTTATTTTTATTTTTATTTAGGTGCCGCGGATCAAACTCACGACCTTGCACTGGCCAGGCAGGTGCTTACACTGCCGAGGTAAAGCCCTGGGGGTAGATTTTGATGTATTCTTTGTGCTATTGTTTTTACTAGAGTGGTCTTTCAAACATCACCACTCCCTCTGCTTCCCCAACCTCAACAAAATTGTAGAAAACACTGATGGATTTTAGTAATCAACCTATTTATTTGCAAAAGAACAATGAAACCAAACCAAATCAAGCAAACAAAATCCCCGCTAATCTGTGCTGGGCTGTTGCGGTAACCAGAAGAAACTGAAAAAACGATGTTGACTCGTCTGCCACATACCCACCCTCACAGGGCCTCATTTTTCTGTCCTGTCATTCATTCCAGGTAAACAAACAAAACAAACAAGAAGACTCCAGATAATCTTGATTAAAACCTACTACAGAGCCTAGAAATAGACACTGATGTTGCCAATATCTTTCAAACCACTCTTTAGTACTTTTACACATCTGTAAAAGTTTCTCATGTTCTGTTAGTACTTTTAAACCCATTTAAAGACCTTTAAACTGCCTGAGTAATGTTTGGAAGCCTCCTTGCTCTAGACAAAATAAAGGGATCAAAACATGTTGCATAGGGAAGGCCTGGCATGAACTATTTACAACATGTGTTCTGCAAATGAGTTGCAACTTGCTGTGTGTTCTCCAAAAGTCACTTGGGCTCTGTGGCTAATCCATAAAAGTAAACCATCATCCGGGATACTGGCTAAAATTCAACTATGAATAACAGGAGAGTGGTACAACGGCCTTGAAAAGAAGAGAACTTTTTCAGAGTAAAGAAGAGGTGCTCGGACTTAGGTAGCAACAGATCAGTGTTAGGAATTGGGTGCTGTCAGTAAGTATTTAGGGTTATGCAGATTATCATTTTTCTATGCTCTGTCTTGTTTGATTCTTGTGGCTACTCTACTGAATGTTGTTATTTCCGTTTTGTGCATGGGAAAGGTGAGACCTGCAGACCACACAGGTATTCCCGTTACCAGCAGGTCCACGTCACACAGTGTAGAGCTGGCGCTGGGGCCCTGAGCTTCTGTTTGCACTTCCTTCCTGGCCATTCACTCTGTCGTCATCCTCACAGAGAACCTGAAAGTAAACACAGTGCTCTTCAGAATTATGGAAATCTGGGCTCCCTGTCTGTAGACCCCACAAAAGGGGGAAAGGTGGAACTCGGAAGGGATTCCTAGCCGAGTGTGATGGCACACAACAGGAGGCTGAGGCAAGAGTATTGCAAGTTCAAGCCACGCCAGTGAAATTTAGCAAGTTTGTGAGGCCCTATCTCAAAACCAACAATTAAATTAAATTAATGGCCTGGGTTGCAGCTCAGAGTGCATGTCTTGGGGTTAGTCCCCACTACTGAAAAAAATCAAAAAGGAAGAGGAGGAGATGAGCGTCTCCACAGTGGCCGCGGCCCAGCCGGCTCCCCATAGCCAGCGTTGCATCCTGTCGTCCCGGTCTTGGGCCTTCATTTCCTCATCGGATCCCCGGCTCCGGCCGGCTTGTGGGTGGCCTGGGTGCCGCATCATTTCCCTGCTGGTGTGCATTTTTTTGGGTCTGTTTTGCTTTGACTTCGGAGAATCTCTCTTGATAGCTTCTTAATGAGACTCGGGTTTGGAAAACTGGACAAAAAGGAGAAAAGTGGAAAAGATGGATGCTGGGGGGATGCATCAGGAGTTCAGGGAGCTTCACGTCCTGATCTTTGGGGAGGGCGCAGGACTGGGGCAGAAAAATCCCATTGGCTCCTCGCTTCGTTTTCCCTCCTCTCCCCTCCCACAGCCCCCCTTTTTTCCTTCCTCCCAGCATCCTCTGCTCTGTATTATGTAGTACTGCGCATGAAACCAGGGCCTCGTTCCCCTGCGCAGCGCTCATAGCGGGCCCTTGGTAAATTTTATCTCAAGGCAAGGCCTCACTAAGTTGTCTGGCTGGCTTTGAACCTGTCACTTCTCCTGCCTCCACCTCCTGGGGAGCTGGAAATATAGGTGCGCGCTCCCAAGCCTAACACATTGCCTCCGCTCAGCACAATCCATCCTTTGTGTTATTACCAGTGCTTGTTCCACCTCCAAGGACAATTAAATACATTACCCATGCTAAGCTAGACAACTCAATATCTTTAACCTTTTTCATTACTGTTTTTACTTTTCCTGAAGTGACTTTGGATTTGTGACCTTGGGTGAGTTACTTAATGTTTCTGAAACTGTACCATGCACAACCTATAGGGCCACAAGACAGCGCTTTTCTGAAAGCAGTTCTTTGCCTTGTGGTCATGAACCCCGCTTTGTTCGCTTCTTCTTTCTCCAGTGCCTTCGTGGTCACAGTGTGTCCTTTTGCTTTTCCTCCCCAGAGTCGAAAACATGCAAGCAAAGTCCGACTGTATTATATGCTTCACCCCAGGGACGGGGGATGTCCCGCCAAGAGGCTCCGAGCAGAGAACGTGAGTATCCGCCCCAGAACCGAAGGTTTCCTAAGGCCTGCAGGTCTGGGACTGCAGGTTCACGTGAGGAGTAAAGCTAAGTAGAGATGGTCCTTACAGGGTCCTCGGAAAGCACTGTGGCTAAGCAAGGTTGCTCACTTGTTTCTGCTTCCCTGCCAGAACTCTCTGGGGTGAGTTTAATGTGCAGAGGGGACCACACAGACAGTCTGTGTGGCAGTCTGGGAAAGGACACGGCTGGTGTTTAGGGACAGGAGCTATCCCAGGACAAGGTGTCAAGAGGACAAGACCTTCGGGACCTGCCTGTCACACAACAGAGGCTTTACTTCTTGCAAATTTCATTTTTTTCTTTGCTGGTAGAACAGAATGTCAGTTTGTTAATTTATAATGAAGACTGTACATATCTTGCAAATAAAAATACTCAGGCTTTTTGATCAGTACTCCTTCTCCCTGAGGGAACATTTACTTGGAAAGACAGATGATAATTTGGAACATCACTTTGAGGGTGTGGAGTCAAAACGAAAGGGTTTATTTCAGCTGGGCCAGGGCAAAGACTGATGAGATAAACATTCCCTCTCCCACCGGGGGTGACTCTTCATAGTAAGTGGGATATTCACTCTCCCCAACTGCGTGGGTCCCTCCTGAGGAACACTGTGGATTACACACAGGCGTCTCTCACCCTCAGAGTCTGGAGGAGGCTGCAGGCACCGAATGGAAGCCCTGTACTATCCATGGTGCTTGTGGTCCTGCTTTCTAGGTCTGTCTTCTTCTCTGTTAAAATTGAATGCACTGTCATTGCAGAAATATTTGTCATTTACAAAACTGGACTGGGATATTCTTTGTGGCAGAAACTAAGAAAAGGGAGCAAGAGAGCTGCATGTGACTAAAGGCTGTGAGCATCAGGGCTGGGGATTCCTCAGAATCCAGGGCAGACTCTGTGCATCCCGGAATAAGCTGCGCATGCCCAGGCGAACCTGGCATGGGGAGACGCTGATTTATTACCTGACAGGCAGCACTCAGAGCTCAATGGAGGCAAAGACGCCATGGAAACTTTTCAGGATGCCAGGAGTGGGACCAAGGCTGGCTCAGGCGTCTCTTAGCTATAGTGCCTCAGATAAATGATTGATCTCTTTGGCCTCAGTTTCTCTAATCAGGCTTGACTGTACCTTTTTCTCTGAAGCTTTTGTGAATATTAAATGCAATGATAACTGCAAGATGTACTGTTTCTGTAGAACAATGAGGAATCCTAGATAAGTGAAACAGACTCATAACATAGTGAAGGAGAGTAACACTGCACTAAAAATAGCTATGATTCCCACCATGTTCGTGTTTATTAGCAGTCTGCACAAAGAACCATGGAGACAAACGGCAAGGGAATCATGCCGAAGGGTCCAGTCGGGGGAGGTGCTACTGAGGGGCTGGCATTTACCAGGGCTGCAGAGTGTGAATGGACTTTACCAGATGGAGGAGGGAAGCAGGCATGAGGGAGAAGCCAGCAATCTCTCAGGTGCATTTCCATCAAAAAATTTGTTAAACCACGGGGCAGTTAGCCGAAACAAGCTTTTATGTAATCTCAGAATCTTAGAGCTACACGAGAATCATGCCTTCCATTAGAGGATAGTCTATCAGCAGGTCTGGCAGAATAATTTTTTTTATCCCTGGACATTATCCAGCAATAGTGCCTACATCCTGTCATTCAAAAGCCATTTAGAGTCGTATTGTAATGGTTAAAAACAGTGGGGTTCATAGCCACTGGAAAACTAGTTGTTTGTACCCAGATTATTTCCTGTCCCCTCACATTTTAGTCATGAAAGCTGCACTTAGATCTGACCTCCTGGTGTGAGCTCTAAGTAGAAGGGAATTCAGGGAGCTGGAGCTGGATTTGCAGATTTACAAACATGGTCTTTGCCACTCTGGTCCGAGCCAGGATCCAGCCCAGTGAGGCTCTGCGCCTGCCAATAACCCTGTAACAGTGTGGGGAGGGGGATGTTTGGATTTGAGGGCAAGAAGCATTTGCAAGCGCCATTTAGCAAAGGGCCTTTTGGGAACGTTTTCTCCAGTGTAGGCTGGATTTTGAAAACTTTTATCCACCAATGATTTATTTATGGAATCATTTTTCTATAACTTGGTAGTCATAGAATAAATGCAAATCAGTAAGTAGCAAAAGATAATCTTACTGAAAGTGTGTTTGATGCTTTTATTACATTGTGTGTAGCACTTGGAAGAGAATCACCCTTTCTGTGATTCTGTGTCCTGGTACACTGAGCACAGCTAAGACCCCTCCGGTCCCTCTTCAGGCGCTCTGAGGGTGTGTGGTGGTAGTGATTTGGACAAATTTTGTTTTGTTATGACTTACACCAAATGACTGAAAGACTGAATGTGCAAACGAAGAGAACCTGGTTAATAACAACAATCCTAATTTTCATCCCTGCTTCCAATTTAGGACCAGTCAGAGAAAGCCACCTGTGTCCCCCTCCAGTCTCAGGGTGCCTGGCTTCTGGCTCGCTCTGCTGCATCTTCCCTTGCTCAGCAGTGTGCTGATGGGGACACCTGAAGTCTCCCTGTCTTCTACGGTACCCTGTCCCACTTTGCTTGCCTCTGGGTCTCTCCCAAGCGCCTGTGACCACGGCTGACCCCTTGGTATCACGAACACCAAATAAGAAGGCTCTGCTCGCTCTCATTGGCAGTCTTGGTTTGTCCCATTCGGCTGTAAGATGGGAGTAAGCGTAGCTAACATACTGGCCTATTGCAAGGTTCCCTGGCGGTTGTCCGCTTGGCTTAGCTCTGGGTTCACAGAGCTGTCTTCCTTGTGCATCTGTTGCAGGTGCCCTCACCAGTGCTCTGCTCTGTTTGAAGGATTTAACATTTTGTCCTGCTTGCATCTCTTTCCCTACTCATTCTCGCTGCTTCTGAGGGCTGTGACAGTTTTGTATTCCAGCTTTCCCTGGTGAAGGAAGAGCTTGCACATCGGTCCTGAGCACCCAGTCAGGAGCAACCTGTGGCAGTGGAATAGACTTCTTCCGCATGCCCCCTGTCTGCCCTCCCCGCCGTCCCCACTCCCAGCCCTCTGGGGTTACAGGACTCCAAAGCCATTCAGTACTGAAGACAGCTCCTATCACACCCATGGTTCATTGTGGCCATTTCTACTTCAGCTTCTGTGACCTTTTGTGTTGGGGGTGCTGTTATCGTCATTTTAAAAAAGCTTCCATTCATTTCCTTCTGTTGGAGCAGCTCCAGCTTTGAAAATTCCCCTGCTGCAAACCTTACCGCTTGGAATCTTCACTTGGATCTTTTGCTCCTCTCCTGAAATTCAGAGCAGGACATTTTCCCCTTGAGGTCGCAGAGTAAAATTACATGTTAAATAAATTGTTATAGTTCATTGTCTTAGGGAAATTTTCAGTAATCCCAGGAGCGTTAGAGCCCTGAAGAATTTTAGAGACCATCTAGTTCATTGCAATGCTCACGTTTTCACTGCTGACCCCTTTTATTATCTTCACTGTGCATTACGTGCTTTGAAAAAAGTCATTTGCTTGGGAAACAGTGCTTTCAAGTAAAAAGGTGATTTGGTTTTAACTTTTTTTTTTCTGGAAAGATATGATTAACTGTCAATCAAAACTGTCAGTTGTTATGAGAATAAATGGTATTTTTCCATGGAGTTAATATAATTTCCTCTAAAACTGGAGAGCTCCTAACATTTATGTGCTCCCCCTGAGGGCTGAAACATTCAGTATCACTTGAGAGCCCAGGTGCCGTTTTCACAGGCCCCTACCATCTTGGACTCCAGGATGGGAAGAATCAGTCTGATCTACACTCTTACCACAGGATGGGATGAAGAACCCGAGAAACTCTGTGACTTACCCGATTTGGTAGCCCCAAGATCAAGACACTGCTTATATAAGTCCTATCACTGGCTTTCCCACATATCTCCAAGTGTATCTTGAACATTGAAGTCACGGTTGGGTCCAGACCCAGAGAGCACTGCTATTCTGGGCAAAGATATACGAGTGGCAGGCTGGCCTCAGCTTCCTTGAATACTGCAAATGTCTTATGTACACTGGTACAGGTCATCCTTGCAGTCATCATGTAAGGCAGGAGCAGACACTACCCGCATTCTGCAGGGAGATGAATCAAAATGCAGATTAAATAAATTGACTCTGGTCAACCAGTTGGCAGGTCGAAGGGTCGTGGATGGAAAGACAGGAAACTGCCGCCTTGCTTCCCACATCTCTCCAGGACAGCAAGACGCTGCCCAGTGCTGGAGGACATGGAACCCCTCGCCATCAGGATCTTGTGATGAGTGAGCTGTGGAAACCAGGAATCTTTTTTTTTTTTTTTTTTTTTTTTTAAATCGGTACCGGGAATTGAACCCAGGACTGTCTGCTTGGAAGGCAAGTGCTTATGCTGCTGAGCTAAATCTCCAACCCCTAAACCAGGAATCTTAATACTGCATGGCTGTTGCTCCCATAGACAAGTGCCTGGACACGAGGAGGGACCCCGACTGCCCTGTAGGGTGAGGCAGGATGCAGTTTCCTGGAGACAGTGACTGTGAGCTGGTGCCTGAGGGAGTGATGCAGATGAGGAAAGGGCAGAAGGAGGAAAAGCTCTTCCGAGCGTGGGACAGTGCAAGCTCTGTCTCTGGGGAGACCCAAGTCAGAGCTTTTCTGGAGTGTAAGGTGCTCACAGGCAGCTGCTGTAAGCAGCCATAAGCCAGAGGGTTAACACAGCACCACTGCTCTCACCCTCCTGGAGGCCACAGCCTGACATTAGGGCGTCCCTCTGCAGGTGCTGACAAGGAATGTGCTCCAGCTTCTCTCCCAGTGCTGGCAACTGGGGCCACCCTCAGGTGGAGTCACAAGGGCTCTGTCTCAGCCACCATCTCTGCTTGGCTTCCTTTCCATGTTCATCTCTGTATCATCGAGTCCTCAGGAGGGTCAGGGACTGGGGTAACCACACTAAGCCAGGTTGTCCTCTTCCTAACCAATTATACCACAAAGACCCCATTT